CAACTTAAATTGTAAACATGAAATTGAATGATATAGGAACTATCACTTTGAACTATATGAATCCAAACACATGAGGATCTATATATAGTAGTTGAAAATGTTTGTCAGAAGACACAATCGTACCAAGAGACATATCTCTTGAAATCAAGATTCATAATTATTGGAAAGTAATTATATCAAGAGTCATGATCTCCAAAGGTCATGATCTTTATGTGAAAAGACACATCTTTTCATCTACACATTTTTCTAGAATATTCCACAATATTCTACACGATTTTCCAACAATTTCACGTGTTTATTAGGCTTAATTTCTTATTCACCAAAAAACGAATTTCACTTAAATAATCACTTAAATTGACCACAACCAATTTCGAATTTCCAACACTTAGGTCATATCAGTTGGAAGTCTAATGTTCTACTGCATATGGTGATCACATCAAGTATTTAAAAACCGGGAAATGCTGCTTAAGTTGTGCTTTCGAGTTCTTTGGCTTGTGTTCTTGTGGCAAGTCTTGTTCAAAATTTTTGTTTTTAAATCTTCAAACACTCAATTAGGTGCACGCTGGCTTAATTGCATAAGAAAAGACGATTATTATAAAAGATTAGGTACTTTGTAGATGGTCTAATGTAGGAGGAATGCCTTCTTCTTCAAAGCTAGAGGTGAAAATTGTTCGATTTTTTATCCTATTTCGAAACAAGAAGGATTTGATAAAAGGAAAATATATTGCCACCACATTTTCTTTTAGCTGCACCAGTTCTTGATTTGCTTATTAAATTGAAAGTGTAAATGGTGCTACATAGTAATGTCGATTTAATAGATTTTTAATAGCCTTTTGTTACTATAAGAACGGCAAAAAATGAAAGGAACAAAGATCGAAGACAAAATGTAAGGAAACATTTTTAAACGCCACGCTGCAATTTTTAACTGGATATTAGTGAAGAATGACGGTCTAGGACATTCTTCCTGATAAAATTAGTATTCTCTCCTCAATCAATGGCCTTATATGTCGTCGAAGTTGTTTCCTTTTCCCCGGGAGCCAAAAATATACGTATTTAACCCTTTGAACAAGCTGTTGGCGAGTATCTTGTGTTAGGTATTTCTAGTAGCTGTAACCAACCGTCACCTTTTGATCCTTTCCAGTACTCAATTGATGCTTCCACGAAATTTTAGAGTGCTTGCTGGCTGGTAGTGAGACTAAAGAAAAGGATCATCGTCTCCGGTTTGATATATTCAACAAAAACTTGGTCCTTGAAACAATTATGAATGACATATTTTAATGCAAGCATAAATCGATTAAAAATAGAAGACATTTATATTGAGGACTAACTGAGATGCAAGCACTCCTGAGATGTGTGTTGATAAGAGTAGATTTTACACTTATTCAGCTTAAGATCTTACTATTATGTAGGTGATCTAAGTTGAATTAATATTAAGTTGCATATGTTTTCTCTTCCTAAGATGAATCCTGGCGCGGTCGTGATTTTGGAGGAAGAAAAGTGAGGCTAATACGAGGGAGCAGGTCCACGCCGTCACTACCGAAATCATCAAGAGACCAGTTGTAGTAAATGACAAGGTGCCTACTGCAAATAAGGAGAAAGCGAAACAACCGGAAGAAGTAAAAGTTGCAGTTTAGAAAGAAGATTAAGATATTCTACAAGTGAAAGTACCCATGCTGTTCGAAAAATGGTTACCTCCCAGTTTTCCTCAAAGACTGAAGAAGACTTCAATTCCTAAGTTTCTTGATATTTTCGAGAAACTCAACATCAACATTCCCTTTGCTAAAGCACTAGCTCAGATGCCACTATACATGAAGTTCATGAAGAAAATGTTCTCCGTGAAGAGAAGGCTTCAGCAGTACGAGATAATGACATTAATTGATATGTGTAATGCTATTATGCTCAACAAGGTGCTTCCAAAGTAAAAAGATCCAGTTAATCTCAAAATACAATGCACCCTTGGAATACATCTGTACTTCCAAGCTTTATGTGATTTATGTACAAGTGTTTGTTAATTCGACACATGTTCACGTTTTATTCACTTATCTGCCACTTATTTTTATTTATTTATAAATTAAATTGTATACAAATTCTTTCCAAACCAAGTCTTAGTGATAGAGGTACTTAACATGAAATTTTCAAGTAAAGCATGATCTTCTATTTATATTGTTAAAAGCAGTGGCTTGCGTTTTTATCCCTTATAAATTGTCGTTTCAAGCTTGATAGCAAACATTATTACTAGAAGAAGTAAAAATGACGGTTGAAAATATCTAATTGCAACAATTTTAAAGTTCAATGATAATTGAAAAACAACGTTAGAATTACAGTAGAGGTTGAGATTTTGAAAATTGTTTCAATAACAACACTAGGTATTTATGGCATCTGTTTTCAAAGTTCAGTGACGTAAATGAAATATTTTTGAAGTTTACCAAACTTTAAATTGTTTCATTTAGATAAGTGAACTTCACAAATTATTTCATTTTATAGTTAGTTTACACTACAACAATAATGCAAGCTCCAGCTCATAATCCTGCAGCAACATTAGATCTGTATCTATCTCTTTGTTAACACTTAACACTTGCTGTAACACTTGCAGCGATTCTCATGGTCCAAATTACTAAAACCCAGTTCGAATTTAGTCTCACATTTCAATTTTTCAGTTCTTAGTCTCATTTTTTGTTTTCTGGGTATTATTATATCTTCATGAGGAATAAATGAGGCGCCGAGGATCAGATTTACGACGACCAGTGAGGCGGCGTGTTTCGAATGTATTTTGGTTAACGCTCTGTGGGATTACGATTCTGATCTTCATTGTTTTGTTAAGCCGAGAGAATCAGAAACCCTAGTCGAGATCAGCTATTATTAAGGTAATTATATAATGCTGGGTTGTACAACTAGCATGGTTCATTATGATATCAAATCATTTGTTTTGGTTCTTTCGTCCTTTCTGCTAGAACGAAAAATCTGGCATTAATGTTTAGGAACTGAATTTCTGGTTCCAGTTTGAATTTCAATTTTGGGTTACTTGGAATTGATTTGATTTGATTTCATTGTGCTTTATGATTTCATATTGATGGAAATCAGCTATTTTAGTGTTGAAATCTGTATAGATAATGAAGAAATGTGTGGCCTGAGTGAAAGTTTAAGGACAATTACATATTGATGTTGTAATTTCAGTTGGTTACTGCTGTTATATTGTCTTAATCATTAGAGTTGTGTTTGGGTAGTTGAAAATCTCCATTTGTCAGTTGTCAAGTTGAACAAACTCGTGGACTGTACACTTGATATTATACTAGTCATTAGTCTATTTGTGCTATTAGAACAAGTTGCAATGAAATTACCAGTGATGCAGTTAAAAATAATAATTAGCCTCCATTTGACTAATTAATAAATGATATTTAAATTGTCAAACTTCATTTTCAATCACACATTTCAGTGGAATCAGAAGTACTATTCATTTATATACAACTCATTTATATCTATTTATAAATTAAACCGTTTATAAATTCTTCCCAAATAGTTAATGCAATTACCAAAACTGATGGTTGAAGTTGTTTGTTTGTGTGTACCTTATACATTGATAGGTCAATGGTCTTACATTCAATAACTGCATTGTTCAGAATTTGGGAACAGTAGATCAGATTCAACCGATATTGCTTTTCTTAATTGGGGAGGCTTGATGATGACTTGTTTTGAAGGTTGAAGTGTTGAGTTTGGATTCGAATTATGTAATATTTAGTTTGGTGAAGAAAACACCATTGTCGACTATTTCTGATATATTTCGTCGTAGAATATAGATGAGGCCCCACGGCTGTCTTGATGGTATAAGAGCAGAGAGCTGGAAGTTTTATTTTTGCCTTCGAGGAACTATATTAATCCATCTTTACATTGATTTCTATTGTGTTGAGAGTTTATGGTTTTCTGGGGAATTTATTAATAAAGATCTGATCTATAAGTAGTAAAATGCTGATTAGGTTTGCTCTTATGGTCCAGTTATTTTACCCTTTTTCAAGGTTCCCTGTATTGATAAGAAATGTTTTCTTAGGATCTTTAATCTCTCCACATATAATAGTATATTACTGATCATTCTGAAATCTAGTTAGCTGGCCAACAATCCGTTCATTGATCAATAAGTTCTAGAAAGGCCCAAGCTTTTTAAGATCAAATAGCAAACTCATGCATCTATGGGTAAAACATATCAAAAGTGATGCACATCCCCATAGAAAGAAACTAGCCCACTGAAGTAGTGTATGATTATACCACAAACTCCTTATTCTGAATGGAGCCCAATGAAGTAGCATCCTTAGACTATTGTATCCTTGGTGATTGAATGTGGAAGGAATAAGGGCTGGACTTATAGATCTGAAGAAGATGATGGTATGTAGGGATAAAAGTTTGTAGAAGCAAAGTATTTTACATCTTTTGTGATGTTTAATGAATTTTCCTAAGTGTGTTTGACATAATAGTGTTCTTTGACAGATCAATCAAGGATGGTTAAATTCCTCTAGGGGTCCTAACATTTCATAAATGTGCCAGTCATTGTTCCCAACCTTTCATTGATGGCAACTATGTCCCCAACCTTTTAACACTATGACAGCTAGAGGACTCTATTTAAATGTCAAATGCCCATGCAAATGCGCGTTATGTGTGACTAAAAGGGTAAAACTGTTCAAAACAGATTTCATTTAGTGCATAAACCAAACTTTGACTGTTCAGCATACATTAAATGTTACTCTTTTTTCGACAACATGTCTTTCAGTTACACATCACATGGCCATTTAACATTTAAATAGACAGTTTCTGTCATGTGGAGATATCAGACACATAGTGTTAAAAGGTTGGGGACATGGGTATTGGTTGCAACAGAAGGAAGGTAGAGGTATTTATGCATAAGCAATTATAGATTGGTTATTGTGACTGTAACCTGAAAAGAGCAAATGTGTTGATTCTTGTTTTGGGTATAGAAACATGTTTTAAATGATTATTATGTATTTTCGGATCAGGGAAATACTAATAATTGCTTAGAGAACATTGATGATTGCAATGTTTGTAGATAGCATTCAACAATGAAGCTCATCTTTGGTTATCTGGATATCTTTATTAGCTCAAGATTGTTATACACTATGGGGCAAAGTTTATTTGAATCATTTGAGCTCTTTTTAAAATGACAAATCACCAATTTTTTAACCTCCACTGAACTGTCATTACCCCTGAAACGAACGAAGAGAGAGGTTCTATTTCTCTTATTTCATAAAATCCCTAATGTTTTACATATATACAAGTTATTTATATTATTTATAGGACAAGTCCCTATAAATGAGATACTATCAATTAGGGTCACATATATTTAATTCTAGTCTGTAACAACCCTCATGAATGTTGTATTTTTTTTATTATTTTTAGTAGAAACATATTGAAAAATGAGGATGAAAATTATAATGAATGGGAACTACTTAAATAAGTAAAGAAAAAGTAATTTTTGATGTATAGATATGAGAAATGTGTATAACAATAAAAAGATAACATTATTTTTACCTTAGGGGATAGAATTCATATCTTTACTTTGGACAGAATATAGATCTTCATATAAACTTGTCTGCCCAATTGTGCCAGATTTGAAGTGAGAGAATATGTACTCGTGGAGAAAAATGGTGATGTAGAACATAATGAATAAGAACTAGAATTATAGAAGGAGAGAGGAGAAGAGAAGAGAGGGGAAGGGGATTAGAGAGGAGGGGAAAGAAAGGGGAGAAGCCAAGAGAAGAAATTTGAAGAGAAAGTATTGTTCATTCAATTTATCGAAAGTCAAACTATTAAATTGCGTAATCCCCCTCTACCCCTCTATACAAGGTTTAAACTAATCTAATTCAAGTAAGAAACAAATAATAAAATACTAAAGAATCTATAAATTAAAGCTTAATTATTTTTCATAAAATAAAAATCTAAATGTGTAGAGTCTTCATATAATATATTTAATAGGATCTCCATAATCTCTCTCGGACTTCAACTCCGACGAAATAGATTGCAACTTCTTACCAAATAACATAACAATACTGACCATATCTTCTTTCTAATCATCTTACCTTTCCTCTTCTCATATATTCTCTCTCCTATAATTCTGGTTCTTGTTCTTTACATTCTACATCAAAAGGATGAGGCAAAAATTAGTAAAAGAAATATCTACACTCAACTTAATGACCTTTTTCTTTGACCAGGCAATTTTGTAGCTTTATTTTGGATTAAGGTTTAATATTATGTAAAAAAAAATGAGTCCCTATGAAATAAATATGAATTATTTCTTGAAAAAGAATGCTTGACCAAACAAGTGAAATGGGCCATTCATTTTGAGATGCAGAAAGTAAAATTTCTTTCCGGCGTTAAGAATTTCACAGGAGAGGAGTTTGGAAATGAATGTACACATATGACTTCACACGTGCACTGATATTGGATATGAGCGAGATCTTAAACCATAGTGGTCTATGGTCTTCAGTTGGACAAAATATTCATCTGGAACTTCAAGACCACCATTTGTTACTTTGTACATTTGTTTGATGAAGTGCTCAATTAGCATATCCTGTCTTTCTAACCTTTTTAGTGCGAATCGAGAACTTATGTGGCTGTTTATATGTTTTGCAGAGATCCTACAGACATGACAGAATCATTGAAGGCCTTAATATCTCCGAAGAAATGTTCAGTCCCAACTCTGTAACTAGGCAACTTAAAGATCAAATTTCTCTAGCAAAGTCATTTCTTGCCATTGCAAAGGAAAGCAACAACCTCCAATTTGCATGGGAACTTAGTGTTCAAATCCGCAACTTGCAAATCCTTCTCTCCAATGCTGCTTTACGAAGAAATCCTTTGACTATCAGTGAATCAGAAAGTGCAATTTGCGATATGGCACTTTTACTCTTCCAAGGCCAGCGACTCCACTATGACAGTGCTACCATGATCTTGAGGCTGAAGGCGAAGATCCAGGGTCTTGAAGAACAGACGAGTTCCATAAATGAGAAAAGTTCGAAGTATGGACAAATAGCTGCTGAAGAAGTCCCGAAGAGTTTGTATTGTCTTAGTATTCAGTTGTCAACTGAATGGTACAAGAACTCAAATTTACAAAGAACACTAGAGAGAAAAGGGTAGCAGTTATAAAACTCGAAGATAACAATCTCTATCATTTTTGCGTCTTTTCTGACAACATTCTTGCAACTTCAGTTGTAGTAAATTCAACAGCTTTGAGTTCCCAAAATCCCGATAAAGTAGTCTTCCACCTCGTGACTGACGAGGTGAATTATGCTGCAATGAAGGCCTGGTTCGCTATAAACAGTTTTAAGGGCGTGACTGTTGATGTTCAGAAGATAGAAGAGTTTACCTGGTTGAATGCTTCTTATGTTCCTGTTCTTAAACAGCTTCAAGACTCCAACACCCAGAATTACTATTTTTCTGGGAGCACTGGTGATAGCCGGACGCCAATCAAATTTAGGAACCCTAAATATCTATCCATGCTTAACCACCTAAGGTTCTATATACCAGAAGTATTTCCCGAGTTGAAGAAGGTGGTATTTCTTGATGATGATGTTATAGTTCAGAAAGATCTGTCTTGCCTATTCTGTATAGATCTAAATGGAAACGTGAATGGTGCAGTCGAGACATGCATGGAGACATTTCACAGATATCACAAGTACTTGAATTACTCACCCCCTCTTATTCGTGAACATTTCGATCCTGATGCATGTGGGTGGGCATTTGGGATGAACGTTTTTGATTTGGTCGAGTGGAGGAAAAGGAATGTCACCGGCATCTACCACTACTGGCAGGAAAAGAATGTCGACAGGACACTCTGGAAACTTGGCACCCTCCCACCGGGGTTACTGACTTTCTATGGATTGACAGAACCGTTGAATCCCACGTGGCATGTTTTAGGTTTAGGGTATACAAATGTTGACCCTCTGGTGATAGAGAAAGGGGCTGTACTACATTTTAATGGGAACTCCAAACCATGGCTGAAGATCAGGATGGAAAAGTACAAGCCCCTTTGGGATAAATATGTCGATTATAGTCATCCTCTACTTCAACAATGCAATGTTCATTAACTTCAACATAGATTGGCTCTCCCTTTTCGCTCAAATATTGAAATGCATAAAGATTTACGAGCAAATTATGAGATGACGCAGGGTAGGTGTTATAACTAATATTATTTAATTGTTGTTCTAATTTGTGACATGTAGTATAATATTGAATTTATCTGAGTTTGGGTCACAGGGATCACTTATGTTGAGATTGGAATTTTGGCGTTCCTCATGAAATTCTTCGGTAAGAAATATAAATTTTGTCAAACGAGCTCTATATTCTAAGTACGAACATTCTCTTGGTTCGAATCCTTTCTTTTTGACATAGAAGCCATGTCATCTATTGAATTAATATTGTAATGTTGTTAATTCATCGTTCCACTGTACACATAGACTACGTCGTTGATTTCATCCAACATGGACTAATGGATGAATTTTATAAAGTTCATGGGGCCAAAAAAAGGGTTGGGTGGCTATTACGACGCCGTTTCACCAACATCAAGCAAGCCCATTTTTACTCCTACAAATCCTATTTCCCATTTGCTGTTAGACGCTCTCGCATACCCTTCGATCTTGGAAAGAAAAGTAAAAAACAACAGAGCCATGGCTACTTCATTGGCTACAATGACGGCACGCCGAGCTGCAACCTTCGTTCGGCTATCATCTCCCGGCTCATCCACTCGATCGGCCTCTCTGATTCCCCGCCGTGGCCTCGCTGGCGCCGCTGGTACCGTGCTAACCTAGTACTTCTCAGATCGATTCTATTGAATATATGTGTCTGTATGATTGTCTCTCTCTCTCTCTCTCTGTCTCTCTCTTATTATTTTTATTTATGACCCAAATGAAGTTCTTTGTTATTGTTTTTTTGATTATCTGGAAATGGGTTTATTTTAGATCACCATGGGCCACCTAAGGTTGATTTCTGGAAAGACCCAATGAGTCCATCCAAGTGGAAGGAAGAGCACGTGAGTTTCTTCTCATTCTTTCCGTTGTTTTTGTAGAATGCGAATTATTATCATTTTTTATGGAGATATATTGAAAGCATTATTTTTGAGTTCTTCGAGTGCACTGGAATTTTTAGATCATATTATGTAATGTACAGTAAGTGAGTCACAATAAAGTAGATTTATAGAGTTCTTTGCTTTGATGTTCGTTGAAAAGCTAATTTCGTGACAAATCTTGGGTTAGACATGATTATGGCTTGAGACGGCAAAAGGGTGGATTATTAATTGGATTCAAGCTGTTCAAAACTGGGTCAGGATGAGAAGAACCCTTTAAACCCAATAATTTAAAGTTGATCTGTTTTCTCTTTAATCAGAATGATCTATCTTTGAATTTAGGGCCTAATTAGTGTCATTTTTTGCGAACATGACCTTAAAACATCTTTTAGATGCAGTTTTTAGTCATTTTAATTTTCTTATTATAACTGTCTCCAAATCTCACTTCCACATGCATATGGGAATGGTAATGCAGCATCTAGACACTATACAACGATTTTATTACAATTGATAAAATTTTATTGAGGAATAAGACTTTCCCACAAAGTACCTAGGAAGGAAGGAAATATATTTGCAGTTCAAGTGATGAAAAAAGCGACATATAGTGTTTTTCCAAAAAGTAAGTGATGAGCTGGTGTCCAAGTGCATATGCCATTGTGGTGTAGGTTGTTCTGCATTGAGGAGCACATAGATATGGCTTTAACAGTCTAAATGAGATGAAGACCAGCAGTGAAATTCCAAGTTTCCTTGCATATTCTATAGATTGTGGTCAATGTTATAAGGCATTTGAATACTTTCTCTATTTATAAAAAGTTAGCCTTTTTAACTCTATTATCGGCAAGTTGACTGCTCCAACTTCTAAAATACCTGCCTTGACGGCAGCATTTATGCACATTTAACGAGTTCATCCGACAATAGAAATGCACTTCTGAATACATGAACAGCGTGCTTAAAAAGCTTGAACGCGAATAAGTTGTGAAATTGAAAATCTATTTTTACTGGTTTGGCAACAGGAGAAATGGTATTGCATGATTGTTCTTTGCTGGTACAGACTATCTTTTATGTCATTCCAATAGATAAAGCACAAATTCCTGAGGGAAGTGGATAATTTATTGTGTTTAAAATTTTCCATGACCATCTAGGTAGTATCATATATGAACAATGAAGTGCAAAAATTAGGAATGTCTACAAGTAAAAAATCCTATAGATTTCTTATTCTTATTCTTTTCCATATCCACTTCTGCTGTTGTAAGGGTTTCTATGCCCCTACCCAATAGTAAGTGGGAGGGGGGAGGGGGTGTTGGCACCATCCCCTACCTGTTTAGTTTTTATTAATATATAAATAAGTACATAGCTTACCTCTTAAGTTGCTTAAAAAAGAAAGCGGTGTGAACTCAGAGTGATTAGCACCAAACTTTATTTCTAGCAGCTATATCTCAAGCAATTAGAGGTCTAGTTTTTGAAGGTACAAAATCATGTGCTCTTGTCGCACCTACATTTACAATTGTAGTAGCAACATGAGCATCAGGAGCAGACCTTACAAATTCAATTATGATGATATCACGCATAAATAACATTTAATTTAAGGTGCATAGTTCAATAGATGCTTAACAATATATTTTGTTAACTAATTATCATGAGGATTATTAGTGACTAGTTTTACCAGTCTCCTCAATATCTCTCGTAAGTCTCTCTATCATTATCATGGGAATCTTTATTGGTTGCCATGAGATGTTATATATTGATTCTTACTAACAGTACATGTCTATGTAAATTGACAAAAATAACAAACTGTGTTCTACAACCCACCCTAGTCCCTAGACCAAATTGTTTTTGATAACATCAGTAGGTGTTAGTTACATACCAAATAAATGCATCCACACTCTTAAGAGGTGTAACCTAACCACAAATTTGCGTGTGTGGATTCATTTCATGGTTCTTGAATTACATTGCCAACTCTTTGTACAGCATTGAACAAATTAAGATCAGATTACAGTTGGAAACTTGAAAACGAATTCATATATTGTCGGATTCAACAAGGACCAAATGTAAGTATGTAAAGAATGCAACAAATAAATATGTTGAACCTGGAACATGTGAAAGTACAAAATGACATGTTAATGGTGTATGAAAAGAAATTGAGCTCCATGCTGATGAAAGTGGATATGGTATTTTTCTTTCTTTGGGCTGCTTTTAATAAGATCAATGTCAAAGATCATTAGGATTGAATGTTTTACCCATTAATCAGGAAGAGACTCTGAGTATGAATGAACTAGAGATCAATATGTAGTTAATTGGATGGACAAATTGATCTGTTATTTATGTGATAGCGAAGGTATTGAACAAATCTTATTAGCACCACAATGTGCAACTTTGTTTACAATTCTAGTGTGATCTGTGAAGTGTGAACAATTTCTTAATTTGAACATAGAATTTATAGATGTATTTGCAGGATAACTGATAGTCCAATTGTCTACTTGAAGATACTAGAATTTAAAGTCTGTATTGCTGAGTGATTACTAGTTAATTTTTCACTCGAGTGCAGAATCAATATTATGTATTATGTTTATCAAAATTCACTTGTACTGAATATTTGTGCTCACTTGGCTAAGTTATTCTTTTTGACCTATTGCTTGTGTATTAATTACGGAATTCTGAAGACATTCTTCATTTTCTTTCATAAATTGTGTCCTACTTTTTCTTGTTCTACTCACAGAATTTCACTGTTCATTCATTTCTCATGTGGAACACCATTAAGATAAAGTTCAGGTTTACTGATATCATTTGCGAAAAATACTGTGAATTATATATGCTGTGTATCTTTGAATATGCAGTTCGTGATTGTCTCCTTATCTGGCTGGGGTTTGCTTCTCTTTGGAGGGTACAAGTTCTTCACGGGAGGCAAGAAGAACAATGAAGAGGTGCACTTTTCTTCCTTTAAATTTCAACTTTATGCAGTATGGATTATGTAACCTGGGTTAATGAGATTTATAGTTGTACTACGCAGTAACACAGTTGGCTTGTTCATACATTGCCAACTTTTTTTATGTCATTCATTGGATGGAACATATCGTGAAAGTATACAATATGAGAAAGGATATGAAATCAGCTCAACCTCCATTCATTTGGTTGATTATTTTTATCCACAGAGAGGACAAGAAAATTAAAGGTTTACAGTTTGATCCATTTTATGGACAAGTATGAAGTTTCTACTTACAAGCATTTGTCGGTGTAATAGTTGCTTTGTCCTGAAGAATAAGACATTTTTAGTGCATTTTGAGTGAAAGACGCTCACTTTTGACCTCCCTCAGCGCCATCCTTAACCAGATGCACACACCCTCATAAAAGGGGAAAAAATGTGAGGACAAACGAAATTTACATTCTCATTACCGAACCGACTACTTGTGAAACAATATGAGTTTTATTCCGACTGTTAGCAACGTTCCCATAAATGGTATGGAAATAATCACTCTTTTGCCTTTTGCATTACTTGTAAATTATTTTTTGTAGGATATGATTACGTTACATATTATACTGGAATCTTGATTGATCAATTTATATTTTTGTTTATTTATTTCTTTTTCGCAGAAATTGGTGGAAGCAACACATTAGAGTGGAGAATTTTGAATGTCGTCATTACAGAAACTTTCTTCTAATATATTGAACTTCAAATTTCATTGTCTTGTATGCGGACAGTTCAACTGTCTCCAATCAATTTGAATGATCATTGAAATGCTCAGCTCAGGTGATGACTGAAATACTACAACTCCAAACACTTGTCATTGCATTTTCCATTTCGACCTTTCGATTCACTTTGCTTTATGTCGTCTTAATAATGTATGAACATCATAACTATATGATCCTTGTTGATGCACGTTGCATAGATTGCATCAGGATTTCTCTTTGGATTGGGATTTCACCCAACTCGAAATGTCAGTTCAGTTGTCTGCGAAAAAAAATAATAATAAATAAAGTCTTGCTATATCTCGAATAAAATAACGTATTTCAATATCTTGAAATTAAAAAGTAACCGTAATTTTTACCATTCTTTAATTTTATTGATCAGCTTAATCCAAATTGGTGTATCGGACAGTTCTCCTTGCTGAAGAGGGGTCGGATTCACGTGTACGCTTGTGATACAAAGTCAAGTAAATTGATGTTCCAACTACCAACGTTACTACAATCTGAAAAATGGCCAAAACCCAACCACTTAAAGTCAACTTTAAATGAAAAATCTGTGGAAGAATCTTGCGCTAAACATAATGGTTTCACTATTAGTTGCAATTATTCAATCAAAATGAAATCAGATTATAGTTTAAGATGGAATAAAATGATCAAAATCGATGCTCCGAAAATGGCTCATTGGAATGATGGGTATCCATGCTTGCCGTCGTACTTATAAAAAAAAAAAACCCACGAGCTTCAATAAATTTTACGTAATACAGACCAACTTATATTAATTGAATTCATCCACGTAAGCTTATCAATTAATTAAGTAGGAAATTATTTATACTATTCAATACTTAGAATAAAAACTTATTAATTATTAGTTTGGTTATATTTTCAAGGCTTTGATCTTATCTTTACACCGACAGAATCAATAATCGTCAATTTTATACTGACATGATAATGTTTAACACCTTACCTTAAATTAACTTCACAAGTTTTATTTTATTCACAAATTAAAAAAATAGCTAGCAATTTTCATTTTGGTGAAATCGTAATTGCATATTAAAACTTATGTAAGGCGAGCGGCCACTACAAAGAATAGAAGGCTCGTTTCATATTATTAGTAGCTCCTTTTTTTTTTTTTTTTTTTTTTCCTTTTTTAATAATTATTTCGACCATTCGATCTAACGCAATATATATTTTACACACACATGTTGCATGTGTGCGTGGCTTTTTAGTTTTATTTTTTCATGGATGTTTGAGGTCTGTAATAGAGAAAGTGACGTGACAAAAGTTGTGGTTTATATACATAATAATCATCTATTTGTTTTGGTCAATTGATAATTCTTCAAACACAAAGTATACAAACACAGTTGAGGGCTTGAAGCGCGCACACAAATAAATGGATTCCAACCCAACTTGTAATGTAAGTCTCTCTCTCTCTCTCTCTATACACACACACTGACACACACACATACTGGTGGCAGGAGCAGGGGCGGCGTGGAGGAGGGTGGTGTTTGTCTTGTATATCTATTTGCCGATGGACTACCCTCATTTCAATGAGGGTGAATTTAAGTAGTGTCCATTTGGAAAGAGTCTTCAGGGAGATACATAAACGAAGAAGGATAAGCTCGTGTTAATGAGTGGCGAAGGTTTGAGCCTTGGGATTTCGATTTAGGGGTAAAAAATGTACGTATATGTTTTTCAAATTATGTTTTTTTATGAAGGGATTAGATATATTATGATGGAAATTCTAAAGTTTGATACCAAAAAAATATAATCACTACCATAGATTGATTTCCAGTGAGATTTATGGGAATCTAGATCTCACGTCGAAAGTATGGATTTTCTTTGTGGGGTTTATATAGACTTGGGTTCTCCAACCACGTTGGCTTGGCTAGCTTTTGTGTGGTATGACTCTTCCAAATCCTATGACAATGGTATCAGAACAAACATCATGTCTTTCGGTCTCGGTTACCACTTAGGGTGTATGGGCACCTGCTCGACGTGGACGCCTAGTTGGAAGCGTGGTGGTTTGTCATGATTTTTAGTGGGATTTATGGGAATCTAAATTCTATATCGGAAGTATGGGCTTCCTTTGTGAGTTTTATATAGGCTTGAGATCTCCAACTACATTGGCTAGTTTTTGTGGTCTCGCTCTTCCAAATCCTATGACACGTTAATTACTAGGATAATTTATATATTTGTTTTTATTTTCCGTCTTCAATTTTTAGGTCATCTGTTGTTTGCACATCAATTTGTGGGTTCCAGTGTAATTAAAATATACTTGTACACACATAGATGCCCACAATAATGCGCGAAAGTTAAATTATGTAAAATTATATTTCGATGTTGCTTTTATGTTATTTACACTAGGACAAGGATAAGGACAATGACAAGAAGAAGACAGTGCAACATTCTATGCTTCTATGCTGCAAGTTATACATATCCGAATCACGAAACAAAGAAGCTCTCGATTTGATCGAACGAGCAGTTAAGCGCGATCCAGAAACTGTCATCGTGAACAAATTCGAGGATCGAGAATATAATAGGGTTAGGTACACCCTTGTATCGTACGTCGCTCATGATAGTATAGGGTGTCCAATCTACAGCCCTTTGCATCAATCTGTGATGGCCATGGCTGAAGCTGCTTATGAAGCCATAAATCTCGAGTTGCATTCCGGGGCTCACCCACGACTTGGTGTAGTGGACGACATCGTTTTTCATCCGTTGGGTCGGGCTTCATTGGATGAAGCAGCTTGGCTTGCCAAGGCAGTGGCTGCAGATATTGGAAATAGATTTCAAGGTATGTATTTCTTATAGTGTAAATGAAATCACAAGATTACAACAAAATTTTAAGGAATTTCTTATTTGTTGCAGTGCCGGTGTATCTATATGGTGCAGCACATCCAACAGGGAAGGCTTTAGACACCATCAGGCGTGAACTCGGGTATTATCGACCCAATTTTATGGGCAACCAGTGGGCTGGATGGACGCAACCCGAAATTCTCCCTGAAAGACCTAATGAAGGACCAAACACGGTGACTCGTGCTAGAGGCATTGCTATGATCGGTGCACGTTCATGGGTTGCCACCTATAATGTTCCCATCTTGTCGACAGACGTTTCAACAGCTAGACGGATTGCATTGATGGTAAGTGCTCGAGGTGGAGGCCTGCCTACTGTTCAAACACTAGGACTTGTTCATGGTGAGGACACAACTGAGATAGCTTGCATGTTACTCGAACCAAATCAAATTGGTGCTGATCGAGTCCAAAATCATGTTCAAATGCTGGCAGAACAAGAAGGTTTAGATGTCGAGAAGGGTTATTTTACTGATTTTTCACCAGAGATGATTGTTGAAAGATACTTGAAATTAATCTCTTCCGGCTCTGCCTGAGTTGAGGATCAAGTGCAAGCTAATCACTTGCGATTCATGAAGACTAAAAATGATTAAACAAGACAAACATAAGATGTTTGTCAGATATCTTCCAGTCCAGCATATTAAACAATGCTCTAATGTCTAAACTGCGAAATAAAATGACACCTTTCTTCTTTCCATTGTGTTTCTTTATTACGTTCTAACAAAATGTTATTGTTGAGTATTTTAGTTAACATTGGAAATATCAACGTCCAAAGAATTTAATATACCTACAAAAATACGTAAACTATAAAATTTCGTCGGAATTACCAATGGCTTCCGTTAGTTGTCGATGGTTGATAACATCACTGACGACAATGTTATTGATGATAACTAACATAAATGCATTGGTTATCTCTAGCGTATCTTCGTCAGTACTTTCACCTGAATTACCTACGCTTATTTCCCTTGGAATCTCCGTATTGCTATATTGTGGAATAATGATGGAGTTTTCGTCCATCATTAATTGCTCTATTATTCTTTTTTAATATTATTTATAAATACATCCCCCAATAATTTTGTCTAAGAACCAAGTTGCTTGAGCCGCCTTCATATGTGTTTTTTAAATAGAATTTTTATGAAGGGATTATGTATATTATAAAATGAACCTTCAAGTGTTTGATACCAATGATATAATCACCAAGATAGACTAGTACAAGTACGTTAATTACATGGTCAATTTATATATGTTCTTATTTTCGGTCTTTAATTTTACAAGCAATGCAAGACCCACTCCAGGGTAGGAAGTGATAGTTAACCAATCAAGAAAACAAAAACTTCTATTAAAAGGATGCTAATAAGCTGCTCACCTGCAATCCCCATATCCTAATCTGTTGGTGCATATGGTTAGCACGAGGGCATTAAGGTGGATGCAAGCCAGGTTATATGGGAAAATATTTGGGCAAACTCTAACTTGTAGGTTTTTTCTCTTCGTCCACATGATATAGACATGGACTTCATCATTCTCATTCTACCTCGACTTAAAAAGAACCCCAATGCAGTACACTGGACTAAACCAAACAAGGTTTACTCGTGTCAAGATAGAAACAACACGGAGAGAGTAGTTTAATGAACTGAGGTCTTTCAAGGAGAACAGCCAGAGATTGATGGCAGAAATTTTTGATCAGCTGCTCAACTAATATAGACCACTGTGTCTGGGGCAAATAAATCCTTAAAAGAGTAAAAGAAATTAACTAAGACATTCTTGAAAGCATCACACTGCTTTCACTTTCCCATAATTAGCAGTGTGACCCTGTCCATGTATTCATTCGAACCAACTTTCTTTTCTTCCATACCTAATGATTTTATCCTGACCTACATACCCGGATTCAATTTTTCATCAAAACAGAGTGGCATCTGAAATTTTCATAAATGGGTAAAGGAGCAATATTTTTAAATGGTGAAGTTGCTTCGAAACTATTTCAAAAAATCCACAACGGAAAATCATAAGGTAAATGATAAACATGCAAAATAGCCACAACCGTGAAAATTAGTACCTCGTACAAAAAGGGAAAACAAAATACATGTAGAAAATGCAAGGAGCAAAGAGAACAAAATTTTAACATTTTCCATAACCTTAAATTATCGACCATGCCCAAGATATTGTAGTTCAAAGGTATCAAGAAAGAGTGAAACCTTTTAGCTGCCTTTCTGAGTCTATCTCCTATGTCTCAAATGTCCAGATACACTCTTCCCACTGCCAATACGTCGACTATAAGGTCTCCATGATGTCAAGGAAGATTGCTGCAAATTACAATCATACCCCAATTGCAACCGTTTAGGCTGAACACTGAACAGCTTGTTTGTCCACAATCATGAGCAGAAAATAAATATTGCAGTTTGAGGTGTCAAGAAAGTATCTGAAATTCTAGCGGCCTCTCTGCCTGCCTCTCCCACGTCCAAATCGTCCACCTCTGTTCTGATGCATGTTTCTTCCCCCACTACCAATACCTCGATCATGAGGTCTCCCTGAAGTTACAGGAGATGTAGGTAAATTAGGATCATATCCATTCAGTTGAGTCACTTGTCCTTCCACATTCACAGGCAGAGAAGTTTGTTGGCCCTGTAAACCCATTCCAAATGGTGACTGGTTGAAAACATTTTGACCCATCCAGGGTGCAGGTGCAAATGTATGGCCTCCACCAAAATTTACTTGCCCACCTGGCAAAACGAAATTAAAAGGCAACCCAGGAATTGTATTACTTTGATGTTGCAGTGATACACCGGTTGGCAAAGGCATTTGATACAATTGTTGAGGATGAGTCTGTGGTAACCATGGAATACCATTTCCGGGCAATCCAGGGGGGAGGCCCATACTTGGGGCCTGTTGACATGGGAACCCATTAGTCCAATTTCCATTCGGGGGGCAAAAACCAGGAGTTTGTGCCCTCGGTGCAAATGGAGGAACCATAGCATGTCCACTAACCATTCCTGAGCCTTGATCCATGGATGGCCCAACTGGTGGGCGGACTAAATGCTGGTTTTGATCAACTAATAGGTTATTATCTCCAGCAGAAGCTTTCCCCATTGCAACTTGATCACAGTTCCAGTTGCCAGATCGATTTTTGAATTGCTTTTTATCCTTCTTCTTCGTTCCAAGCTTTGGGTCATCTGTGCCCCTTTTCTTCATTTTAAGCATCCTTCTATACTCGACCTCCTTTTCATCATCCGAAAATTCTAGCTCATCCGACTTCTCTTCATCATTTTCTCCTGAAGCATCGTACCCTTTCTGGTAAAGACTCTTATCATGGAGTACATGATTTACAAACTCTGGAACAAAAGAGATTAATGTTCCTTGCTGAATATTTGCAGGGACTTCAGTCTCTGAATTGTATCTCACAATATAATAAGGGTTCTTCACGGGCCCAAAAACTTCATCCACTATTCCCAGTGCTGATCTGCTTTCCGTTATCCAAAGAATCGAGCCCTCGTTCAGAGGATTGTGATTCTCCACCCCTTCTACAATGACCTGTGCACCTAAGATCTTTACATGGGAAAATCATTGGTTAAACCATGTGAGCAGCAATCTTCAGTTTGTATATATATTAAAAGACAAAACTTAGTGATAGAAGTATCAACAGTGCATTACGTCTTATAATCAGTTGTACTCTATTTTTATGACCTTACCGATAAAACCATTCCAACAGGCAGGATTTGATGATGTGGTTCCAAAATTACATTCACAGAAGGAACTGGGGGCAGAACCTGCAAAAAGAAATGTACGCAACTGTCAACTTTGTCCTAGGTTCAGGACATAATGAAATTTAGATAAAAAGATTTCATATAAACTACATTTTGGACATATCATGGGCTGTCATGGAACTAATGACAACAAATAGGATGCACAACCCCAAGACAATCTTGAACTCACATTTGTCTTACATTAAAAATCAACTAGATAGTCAGTTTCTAACATATCCTTTATCAAACTCCATATCCCTTAAACTAGTAGGCTAGTGCCAAACCCTGAACCCTAAACACTTGAATAGATCATGAAGCTCTAAAGTCCAATAGAAGCTGAAAATTGGCTAGGCCATGCACTATAAACTTGTGAAAGTTCACTATTCTCATAACAAAATACTTATAACAGTAAACAACCAATATTTAATTTAAGCACAAAACAATATATAAGGCCACCTAGGGACAAGTGCTCCAACACGATAGGGAGAGAATTCGGCCAGTACACTCCAACACATGTTAGTATGTGTTTTCTTCTAGTTCATGATAAGTGAAGTTCAATCCCAGTCCAAGAAAGCTGCCCATACACCAACTTGGATGCTACAGGAGGATATTCTAATGTTGAAACTAGAAGCAGGCCATGATAAACGCAAAGAGAAAGTTCTCGCCATTATTGGGTAACTTCCTCTTCCCTAGTCGTACAGTTGATTTGATTATGGTACCGTGATATAATTGAGAACAAAAGATGTTAACTGTTTACTTCCGCTGCTGTTGTGCCTTTCAACTTTTCAAAACTAACATCGAATACTAACATGGTCTGATTAATTAGTTAGCCCAGAACGGCTGAAGGTTTCTTTCAGGATTTCTTAAATAACTCGATCCTAAAAGCTGAAAAGAGACTAAAGAATAGAAATAGAACAATCAAAGAGTCTGTACATGCCAGGCCTTCTACTCCTACAACTGAAGTGCTTCCCCTCCCCAACTGACAGATAATTTTATAAATTTATACTTGTTGGCTCTGTATTTTTATTTTTATTTTCTATATGTTTTCTTCCCTTTCAAAGTCAAAGCAAGCAAATGGGCGAACCGCTGATCAGTTATTTCATTTGTTTTAAACTTCTACATTAGATTTACGATACTGGTCTCTATATGCGATTACAACTTTGTTAACTAATTATTAATTTTGTTCATATATTCTATTATGGTGGTTTCTAATGGTTGATAGTTTATTAGGAGTATAACTTTTTCTTACCATAATTTCTTTGAATTATTTAGTTCATGGAGGGAAAAAGCCTCAATGTTCCATTTAGTCTTTTAAACATTGTTTTATTCTACATGCACCATTACTACTTCTCAAAGAAACAAAAGTTTAAAAGTATGTTTCTTAGCAATAAACTCAATAAATTGAATTCTTGACAGAAACGCTGAGATAAGAACAATGATCTTCAAGTTTTAATAAAAACAATTAATGTTGATCACAGTGACGTGGTAACCATCGTAAATGAGCAACATCCAAAACAGCTATCAACTAGTCATGATCACTATCATGGACAATGTGGTGAAAAAACATGATACAGTAAATTCAATCAGAGAATAAGTTGATTCAAAAGCCTAATTCAATCAGTTTTTCAAGTAGACAAGAATATATAGCCAAAGGTTTCCCACAATACATACTGCTCACTAAATCAAAGTTCAGCCAATTTAAGTTTTCACCATTCGACTATTCCTTCACTAGTTTTGATCAAAATTTTATGCAAATATGTTCTCTACATGACATGAAAAATCTTCTGGACGAAAACTTCAGAATTAAACTTTCTCAAAAGTTCCCGAAGTTTGATGCTCTTGAACATTTTTTGCCAGTTTCTGGCACCAACTTTAGGATCGAATTTCTCTAAACTCAGAAATCATTTTTACAATGTAAAAGTTCCTAGTCAAAGCTCAGGTTCAAAGCTACAAAGCTACAAAACCCTTCAACTAGGTTCAGATTTGGACATGTTTGCTTAGTCAAGTGAAGCTCAATGTCAGATGCCGAAGCACTTTCCAGTCAAGTTCAATTGTTAAAATTCAGCCGATTAAATGATGAATCATGAAAATATTACAGGAGTTTCTAAATATGATAGGATAAATTTTCAGAACGAATAGATTGTGGCATTACCCATTACTCGAGATTCTCTGGCATTACAGACTACCAAGATAGTAGAACAGAACTCAATTGCTTTGTTTGCCATAAATTGTGTGGTCAAAACAAGAAATTTATACGAGATATTCAAGTTTCATAATTAGTCTACATCACAAATAGTAAAGCAGACAACAGAGATAAATAAGCATCTTAACAACTAGATCACTTACCTTGAGTTCGTTCTTAGACCTGATGGGCCCTGCCATACCTCTTTCACCATCATCATCATCTCCATCTTCAGTCCAAGCAACCATCTCATCTGCATCAGACAACATTATCTCACCTTCTTCTATGTCCAGTTTTCCCCCAGCAAACCCAACCTCATTATCTGCTTTCTTCTCATCCCCACTTTCCTCCTCCTCCTCCTCCTCATCATCATCATCCTCATCTTCATCCTCTTCCTCGCTACTAGAAGATGAGGACGAAGATGAAGACAACGAATTCTTGTTTTCTGACTCCAAATCACTATCACTATCATCCTCACCATTATTAGAATCACCAATCCCCATTTCTTTCCCATTATCAATCACTATATTACCACTCTTCAACTCATCCTCGTGGAGGCTCACATCTTCAGAATATTCTGCATAATTATCATTGGGGAATTCACATTTGTCAGTCATATCACCGCCTCCTTGTCCTTCAGTTGTTACATCATTCACATTGACACCAAGTGAAGTCGAGCCATTTGACCTATCCAGAGTAACTTTTCCCATCTCTTCCTCAATCAAACACCTATAATCTGCCAACTTCCCACAAAACGCATCTCCTTTCAACTCCTCCTCAACCTTATTTGTCTCACAAAATCCATCAGCACCCTTCTTAACAATCCCAATTTCACCCTCTTCTTGACCCAAACTCTCCAATAATCGCACCTCACCACAAAACCCATCTCCATTTAACTCCTCTTTAACCAGAGTTTTCCCTACAAACTCATCTTTATCCACTTCCAAACTCTTCTCCACAACCCCAAATTCAGTATCCTTTGAGCCAAAATGAACAGGTGTTTCTCCAAAATCAGCCATTACTGAATCAAAATCAAGAAACGAATCAGCAAAAGATAAAGAGAAGTCTTCAAGACCTGGAAGACAGAGATCAAGTTGGTCGTTTAGTAAAAATGGTTTCTTGAGTTCTGACAAAGATTGGTTTTTGGGGTTTTCTAGTCCCTCTTCTTGTTCTACTCTCACTTCTTCAGTAATGGAATCATGCAAACTCACCATGGTCGAACTAAACTTAAGGTTTTGAAGGTAAGTTTCATGGTTGTAATACTGAAGAATAGCCAAGCTATATATGAATGTGTAAACGCAGAAAGCGAAAATTATGGAAAGTGGCGTTACAAAGGCAATCTTCTTAAACCCTAGTCGCCAGTAGTTCGATTCAAACAGAAAAGAGTAGACGCTATCAGAGAAAAAAAAAAAAAAAAAGTAAATTTACATCCACATCCCTATATTACACCTATTGTCAATTATGGGTCAAACAATTCCAAATTTGGATTGAATTTTGAAATACAAACCCCAGTAAATCTAACGGTGCGTTTGATTGTCAATATTTTTTATGAGAATTTTTTCACCTAATCTCCTACTTTTACATTGTCGAAAAATATTTTTTTACTATATTTTCATTGAAAACAAGGAAAATATTTTTTTTTAGAGTGGTGATCTTTATTTTCAAGTAATTTACTCTCTCTATCTATCTCCTCCCTTTCATTTACCCAACAATAAGAAATGGACAATTGTAATATTTTCTAGATTGAAAACTCAATCAAACACGTTTAATTAATAATTTCCAAATAAGTTAGTCAATTCAATTGCCTATAATTTATCTTCTTTCTATGCAAAACTATACTCGCAATCAAATGTACTCTAAATATTGAATCTGCAACAAAAATTCAAAAATTTATAGTAAAATTGGAATAAAATTAAAAATCCAGAGTTCTACAATCCATTTGTTATTTCATCATATACTTTGATTATAGAAACAATGTTATTACAATTTCTTAGACCTATGTGTTATGACTAAACTTAATCCCGTCATAGAACTATGTGTTAATAAATCGAAACAAGTGTTCTAAGGATCACTTCTCTACATTGAATTTCTAACTAAATAATACAAGTTGTTTGAAAATCTAAAGTCGTCATAGATATCATTCTTGGAGAAATTTAAACAATACGAGACTACAACAAATTTCCGACAAAAGTAATCCTTAGAAGTTGACATTAATTGTTTTTGGACTTATTCTTTATTTTTTTGTTATGTTAATTTCTTATCTGCATATGAGCCCATTACACTTTTAGCACCAAATCTCTTCCCTTTTTATTTGTAACACTTTTGTTTTATGAGTATATTAATTCTTATGCTTTTCAATTTTTACAGTACCTTATAAATTTGTACCTAGATTTATTCTTATTTCTTTATATAATGATTCCTTTCCATACATTTTCTTAACTCATTTTTATTTTCGTAAAAATAATATCGAGACATTGCCTATTTGAAATCAAAATTCCACCAAATTAATTTTTAAATTAAAACTAATAAATGAAAAACCCAAAATGGTCAAGTTTGGGGTATTTGAGCTTGAATTATAAGGGTTAATTGAATCTCTTGATAGATATTATATTAGTAAAAGATCGTAAATGACAGATCAGGACTATTTTCTCAGCCATCGCAATACGATTTTCACTATTTTTCCCAACGATATCATTTCAATCCACAATGTCATTCTGGCTCTTTCAATTCTCATTTTTACTTTGGGAGTCAATCTCAGTTCTCATCTTACCAACCTTCTCAAGTTAGCAATTTGCAACATTCACTACACCAAAAAAGGGCTTTTGCAGCGGTCAAAAAACGCTGCAAAAGACCTTTTGCATCGTTTTTCCAAGTGTTGCGAAGGTCGGTGTCGCCGGAGAGGGTAGACCCTTTTGCAGGTTTTTTTCAGCGTTGCGGTTGACCCTTTTGCAGGTTTTTTTCAGCGTTGCGGTTGACCCTTTTGCAGCATTTTTTCAACGTTGTTGTTGACCCTTTTGCAGCGTTTTTTCAGCGTTGCGGTTGACCCTGTTGCAGTGTGTTTTAAACGTTGCGGTTGACTCTTTTGCAACGTTTTTTCAGCATTGGGCTCTATCCTTTTGCGGCGTTTTTTCGACGACGTGATTTTAATTTTTTTTAAAATTAATTCGCATTTTTAATATAAATGCTTACTACGCTACCAAAAATCATATACTTTGTTCTACACATTCAACCTAATTGTAATTTTGCACTTTTTTCCATAAATAAAATATCCAGTAAATACAGAGATGTAATAAGACATCAAAAAATATAAAAAAATCATAATTAAAAGGAGAAAATACGCACTTGCATTGAAATTAATTACACCATGCAATATTGAACTCATATACATTGTGCAATATTCAAAATAATTTCATTATACATGTTTCTAGTTTAAAATAGTGACCCAGCAGCAAAAACATCTTTTCCATCATTCCGATGAGTATAAAAAGCGGAATAAATCATATTAGATTTTTCTCCCATACTCAGCAAGTTTGGATTGATATTCTATAGCATCAAAAAAGGAGTTGCTGGTGCCAACATGAAAGTAAGCCCATGTCTGAGTGACGTGTATGTAACTGACTTGATTGAAGAAAGATTGTTGAGCAAATTAAAGACAGGAGATGCCTGCATAGAAGTGGAAAATCAGTCATTAATTGAAGAGCAAAAAGCCAAGGAAACAAAAATGAATTTACCAAAAAAAACCCACAACTTAAATACCAAAGGAACACTATTTTTTTTCTCCCAAACTGTGGTTTTAACTTTTCAAGACTAGCTATATTCCACTAAAACACATCATTTCTGTTTAACCCATTTCTTTATCATTTCAATCTAAGGATAGAATAGTTGAAGAAAATTTATAATTAAATCCAATAATTACTTCAAATTGAAGCATGTGCGTACAAACCATTATGAAATCAATAAAGGAATATAAGAAACAAGTAATTGACTGACCCAACCTACCAAGCTATAAATCTAGTGATACGCTTAAATTTGAGCCCTAGGTAGAGTTCTTCCACTTCACTGAAGAGGCTAGCTTAGATAATTAAAGGGGTGAGAGATTAAAGGACTTGGAATTAGAGGCTAGCAATCCAAATCCTGTATCAAGACTTGAAATGAATCTGATTAACAGGTGCACTTATTTGATACGATTGCTAAAACAAAGTTCAGTCCAACACCATAATTAAATCAATCTAACTTCTACCTCTAGTGAGCTCCATATTAACAGCATTACTTCCTGATTGCTCGAGACTTGCCATATGCTGAACAGAGTATATCACTTTCTTCTTCCAACCATACTTTGGCTGCCGTTTCCCGACAAGCTGGAAGGTGGGTTATTTGTTGCTTTAAATCTTCCAGGCGTAAGGCCTTGATACAGGATTTGGATTGCTAAAATAACCAGGTGTGGCTGCCCATGGTGGAGGGGGGTAGCCAGACAAGTACTGAAGTTGAGGTTGAGAATGAAGTTCTAGCTGATGTTGAGGTCGACTAGGGAATTGAGGTTGAGGTTGAGGTTGTGGTTGTGGGAGTTGTGGCTGAGACAGGAGTCTAGGTTGAGGCTGTGATTGAGCCCAGGTATGCATAATATGCAACCACTTTCAACCATCAACCGCACCCAATTTAGAGCATCTGAAGTCCTCCCCTAACACAATATGCATTGATCAAAATGTGGTATGTATAAACATCTGGTTACATCCAAATTTCTTCATTACATGCAACAAACTTTCTCCAATCCTAACACATCCTCTTCTACAGATCTGAGGATCTAATGCTACCAGTCTTCCTCATCCTCCCCAATACATCTAATGCTTGTGATCCCTTCAGATCAGAACAAATAACAAAGGATCTAATGCTACCAATCTTCCTCATCCTCCCCAATACATCTAATGCTTGTGAGCACAAACATCAGATCAGAACAAATAACAAAGGATCACAAGCATTAGATGTCGGGTCATGTCGATTTTGTTGCAGATCAAAAAAGACCTTGAAACCAAGAACATACTACTCAGAGATCAAAAAGCTGAGAGAATAATGATTTTCTACAGAATCACAGAAAAACCCATCATTTTGTAGCATCCCAAAGTGCCCTTTTTCTTACTTCTTCAACTCCACAGTCCAAACCCCAAAGCCACAAACAAGAAAATAGAAGAATTAAGCATGATTTAAAATATGGAGAGAAGAAAGAAATATGGAAAGGAGTGCCCTATAGGTTGGAGAACACTAGTTTATTCAGGAGCATAACCAGAGAGGTAAAAAATGATTAGACGGCTGAAAATAGAGGAGAGACACGTCAAATGGCTCTCTAGACCCCACATGATGACTTGTTTTTATGCCTTGTTTATTGGATACTTGTGGCAAAAGCAGAAATGGTTAAACAAAGGGGTCACATATTTTTTAGAACAAAAGGGTCATCATAGTAGAATCAATAGGGTCCCAAGCTAGAAAGTACCCTGCCGATGGAGAAAGTACCCTGCCAGATGCACACAACTGATAAAAGTAGTGGTAATTTCTTTCAGGGACGGTAGCAAGCAAGCACAAGTAGTAAGCACGATTACACAAGGTGAAAGAAATTGTGGTTGAAGTCGTAGTCATTCTCAGTATTACCACTACATTTTGATTAAAAAGATAACTCGTAATTAAGTGTCATATAATAACTTTAATAGTAAAATTTAATAGCTTTATACTTTATGATAGAACATAAACTGATTGCCTTGTGTCACTAATATAGCGTTACCGATATAAAAAGCCGCAAATAGTACCTTGAATTGTCATTTCTAACAGTTCTTGCATTGCCAAATGCCTCCAAAAGTGGGTTGACTAGAATAGAAACAAGTAGATGTTAGCATAATTGCAATTTGACTGCATGGTGAGAGCTGTAATATGAAAAAGAAATTCAACAGATTAATTCCATCAACAAAAGACCAAAATAATGGGCTTTTGGAGTTGGGTCAATCCATAATTAAACATAGAAATTATTAACCAATATCTCCAAACCTCCAAAAAACATACCTTAATCAAATAAGTCTAATACTGCTTTTTGGCCAAGCAACAGTACTTCCCATGGCTTCACTAAGAGTCCAAAATTCATCTGTAGGTCTGTATAAGGTCAAATTACCCATATACACTTCCTCAACCCAAACCTTCCAACAGTTTCGACCGAGTGGCAGGTGATGCACCTTTGCACTTGGGTCTGTTGTTGCAATCTTCCCTTCTGCTACAACTTCTTCCTCCTCAAACATGTACCAATGCAACAGTTGACATTTTGCATTTGTCATAGGTACAGTACTTCCAAGTTGTGACTACAAATTCATAGTAGACAGAAAATAATATTTTTTAAATTACAATGCTCCAAACTGGATATATATTGAATAAACATTTAGTAATGTATGACACAAAAACCTGAGGAGTAATAGCATTTGAATTCCCGTCCTCTACATTCTGAAGTCTATTTACTTCACTTACAACACATGAAAAAAAAAATCACATGTTGACAATGAAGAAGAATTCTGCATTACATTTTAGAAATAACTTTTTCTACATCAACAACCACAATCGATGAAGTCACAAATTTATTATCCCCAATTCCAAGAGGCAAGAACCAATCAATTTGAAAAACAAAATAAAATAAGATCTTGTAAGAGAAAATGAACTTAAATTAAAATATTCTTACTGAAGAAACTATGGTTTTGCAAAAAATGATACTTGCTCATCTTCATCTCAGGGGCTCCGTGATGCAAGGTTAAAAGTTTATTCAAGACTCGACATAATTATAATATACTGAAACAAGGACAATGAGAACTAAACAAGTTTCAACACCAAAAAGCTTGATCACCTTTGTGCAAGAGGAATACTTTTGATGAATTCCATAAGTTGGAACAATTCTATATTTCATCTACATCAATCTCAGCATACCATAGCTGTCCAAATATCCAATCTTGTAAGAGAAAATGAACTTAAATTAAAATATTCTTACTGAAGAAACTATGGTTTTGCAAAAAATGATACTTGCTCCTCTTCATCTCAAGGGCTCCATGATGCAAGGTTAAAAGTTTATTCAAGACTCGACAGATTTATAATATACTGAAACAAGGACAATGGGAACTAAACAAGTTTCAACACCAAAAAGCTTGATCACCTTTGTGCAAGAGGAATACTTTTGATGAATTCCATAAGTTGGAACAATTCTATATTTCATCTACATCAATCTCAGCATACCATAGCTGTCCAAATATCCCACATCAAACACAAACTAACACGATGAGAATCGTGACATTAAAATAGTAATCCATGTGAAATCTTTAATCTATCTACTGCCTATTATTGCCTTCCAAAATAATCGGAATAGTATTCACCAATTGTTTTAAGTTGGCCTAAGCAAGGTGACATTCAGCATATCCTCAGGGTTTTTTTCATGGACCATACAGAATCACCAGGTTGAAATATTGAGAATTGAGAAGTCTCATGGATTAATTAGCTGATGACGTTTTGTTGAGCTCTTCTGAAGTTCAGCTTTAGTCTTTAATTGTGTTTCAAGTTCTAAAACTCTCCGACTACTTTGTATTTGTCCATCCACCTTTGATGTTACAACTCAAAATCCGAGTCCCCTAACTCTCCCATGACGTTCGGGACCTAAAATTCGAGCGACAGCATCATCACGAATGGAATCTTTGGCGGGTGTATTTGAAATTGATACGAAACAATCTTCAATCATTTTCTGCACTTATGGAATTCAAATGTTATACAACTAATAAGTGGGAAAGCAATGGTCAAACATTGAATATCTTACACATACCAAAGTATCGGCAACATATTCATTTATTGGTTTTCCATCTTTCCTAAGATGTCCAAAAGTCCATACCCTTGTTCGTAACCCTTTTACATCTCGAGTTTTTTTTCTCTACAATACAAATTTAGTTATTACATATATTGGAATTGAACAATTTCATGTAAGACAAGATATGTTTCTCAGATGTACCATTTCATGAGCCACGCGTGGATAACCCTTTCGACCCATAGTATGTAGAAGCTTCTGATTAGTTCTCATGTTGTTGAACCTGAAACTTTTTTCCTATTAAAAAAGCAAAAATGAATACGACACCAATACAACTAAAAATGTAAGCTTCATATGCAAATTATACTTACATGAAAATCAGCAGAAAGAGTATTATCGACAAATTTTACCCAAGCTTCTTCAGAGTTGACATTCTTTGGTCTAAGAAGGGTAATAGTGTGTTTTCTATTCACAGATGATTCAACTTGAGCTTAAATTTCTTTCCTCAGTCTAGATTTGAATGTCCTCCAATACTTTCCCATATATTGAAAGGTCAATCTTTGATGACAATCACTGACTTTGAACATTTGCTGTATTTGTGTATAAACATAAATTTAAGGAAAACTGTGTTAGCCTCATTTCAAAGGAAAATATCATTCAACTAAGAACAGAATTGATCTGAATAGTACCTGTATGAAAGCCCAAAGCTCCATTTTCATCTTTCCATCCACTGAATGCCAATCTTTAATTACAACAGGCACATGTTCTCGAACTAGGGCCCCAACCATGCTCGCAAATTTATCAGAGTTCAGGCCAACCACTTGGCCGTATTCATTGAATTCGAGATCCATCTTCTGATAATTATGTTCCGGAATCATCTTCACTTGTGTTGGACCTCTTTTCTTCTTCGGAGCATTTGTAGTTTTCTGCAACGTGGTTTGTTCGTCATTAGTTGGACTAGTTACACTATCTCCTGGTTCACTAGAGCTTCTTATTCTCTTACTCGTCTCTCGAATTGCATTAGCAATTGCAGCTCTTCTTCTTTTTGAACTCTTCAAAGATTGTTTACTTGACTAAAAGAATACAACATGAAAA